GTCCTTGCCTAGAAGGACTACACCATCTGCATATTATAAGTCAACGAGATTATTCCCTGATGGTAGCAAGTCAATCCCTGAGTCGCTGAAGCGAGTTAGGGTTAAGTCCATTAGTACATCTATGATGAAATTGAATAGAAATGGGGATAGTGGGCATCCCTGTCGGACACCATTAGTCGTCACCACTTCAGATGACAACTCGCCATAAGCCCTCACCTGGCTGATGGCATGCGTTCGAGTAGAGTGCCTTGATCGGTGCAATGTATTTTCTCGGCATTCCCTTTACAACCAAGCATCGCCAGAGAACCTCCCGGTCGACAGAATCGAATGCCGCCTTCAGGTCAAAAAATATAATGATTGTTGGACGCCGGTAAGAATGCCTATGTTATAGAATCTGTCGAAGGGTGAAGATATGATCAATACACCCTCTTCTTGGTCTAAAGCCTGCCTGGTTCTCTAGTGTTTGTGCCTCCCAAGCACCACTTAGTCTACGCAATATTATTGAGCCTAGGATTTTAGATACTATATTAGTCAAGCTAATCCCTCTGTTATTATAACAGGAAGACTTGCCTCTCTTCTTGTATAATCAGTGACTTACACCAACCCAACGGGACTTCCTCTTAATCCCAGACGCTGCCTAGTACCTCACTTAATGCAGACAGCAAACTGTCTCCACCGTACTTAAATACCCATGGAGTCATTCCACCAGGTCCTGCTGCTTTACTTTGTTTCAGACTAGTGACAGCTTTAGTAACCTCAGTTAAGGAAGGAGGACCAGTGTCTATATCCCATTGAGGGAGGTGTTGGATGTTCAGCAGGCTGAGCGTGGCTGTAGGCCAATTAAACTGCTCCTCATAGAGTTTTTTCCAAATACACGCATTTCTTTTCACTTTATTCTTGTCTGGCTTTGTGTGCTGAATGAAGTGTGGCGACTAGAACTGCTGCATATCGGTGAAAAGTTCTACGTTGAAACCAGGCAGACAGCAATCGTACGGTTAGTCATGAGTCTAAGACTAAATAGCTTCTATGAATTATAATGAAGGGGAACAATTGAATGGTAGAATAATGATAATTTGGTGCATTTGGTTCAGAAAGGGAATGCCTTTGGCACCACTGATGACGTCTTTGAGCCATAACACCATCCATGTCAAGCCCTTGGTTCTTAGTGTGCTGACAACACTAGACTAAACATTCTACACCATCCGAAATGACTGAAAAAGACTTGAGGGATTGATGATAGGTTTTGCTTTGACCAGCTCTAACTCCCTTCCAACCCGATCCCATGTCAGTTGACATTATTGCTCAATGGGGAAGGCGTGGGCTGGGCATCAATGAATAAAACGTGTCCAAATCAGTGCAGCTTCACAAATCCATTGATTAACTTCCCCTCTTTAGCTCATAGTCGACGTCTAGTCAGAGCATTACTCACCATATTATACCATTTAACATGGCAGATAAACCGCAAACACCAACAATCAAAGACAAGTAGCCTCTTCAAGCCCTTTCACTTTCAACGACCACATCTCACGGCGAATAGTGCAAACTGTTGCGCAGTACAAACGTCCTTCAATCGATAGCCGGATATCATGTCTACACCAAACGTGCCTTTCGTATCCAGGTAGCGATTTCATCGGTAATTATTCAGTTGGGGCTGATGCAACTTCCCTATTAAGTGAAGTGGTTAAGACACTGAACCATTTCACTCGCTATCTTTAAACCAGGAGTCGGTATAGACCAATCCCGCAGCACTGTCTCACACTGGACAGGGTGAATCACCTATCAAATATATATTAAGATTTCTGTTCAAGGTATTCAGAAGACTCTAAATTTCGTCTAAAGTCTTCACCTAGACGGATTGTATCATCTGCATGGTCAGAATTGTCCCCTGGTAACAAGTCAATCCCCTGGTCACTGAAGTCACTTAGGTTCTATTCCAATAGTACATCTGTGATAAGAATTAACGAAAAATAAAGACACTGGTCATCCCTGACAGATACCACTGGTTGTCACCATTTTAGGTGACAACTCTCCATAAGATTCCTGGGCAACACTACCAACAGCAACAACAACAACAGACAACAATCAGCATAAATGGAAGGAACCTGAAAGAAACAACCTCCTTTACCTACCTGGGAAGCATCGTTTCAACTACAGGTGGACGGAACTGACGAGGATATCAAAGCAAGAATCGGAAAAGCAAGACAAGCTTTCACTACTCTCAAGTCTGTGTGGAGGTCAACAGCACTCAGCATCAAAAATAAGATCCGGATTTTCAACTCCAATGTGAAGTCAGTGCTACTTATACGTACTGATCAGAGACTTGCACTGCGCGTCATAAAGAGCATCTCAAACAAACTACAGACCTTCATTAACAGTTGTCTTCGCTCAATACTCCTCAAGATCAGATGGCCGGCCAGAAAAGATCAGCAACAGGGATCTCTGGGAGCGAACCAACCCAGCAGGAACAAATTGTGAAACAAATAGGCAGGAAGAAATGGAGATGGATTGGCCATTACTATGAGGAAACCATCAAGTGACATCACTAGACAAGCCATTGCTCGAGTGGAACCCGAAAGGGAAGCGGCGAGTTGGTCGTCAGTGCAAGGGTGACTTGGATGAGGTCATGTGAAGAGGAGATGAAAACGTGTGGGCAGACTTGGAGCCAGGTGAAGACTCTAGCAGAGAACCGAACGCAATGGAGACGCACGGCTGAAGCCCTATGTTCCTCTAGGAATTAAAGGAAACAATAATAATACTCTCCATCAGGTCTTACACGGCTGCATAAGTACGAGTAGAGTGCCGTGATTAGTGTGATATACTCTCTCTGCACTAATCAACACATTTTGCTGGAACTCAAACTCGAAGAATGACTAAGAGCATAGTTTAGCGCAATGAAATGAATGTGAATGTTTATTCACGATTTTCAAGTGTTATTTCGTAAGCGTACGGTTTACTTAAAGTTTGACAGAGGACTGTTATCAGTTAGGGAACCATTCAAAAACCAACAGAGCTGTCTCGTTCTTCTAGTCCAGGACTCATCGTCAGTACGCATCCACACCAGAGGATTTATTATTATTATTGTTTCCTTTGGTTCCTAGAGGAACATAGGGCTTCAACCGCACGTCTCCATTGCGTGCGGTTCTCCAACAACGTTTTCACCTGCCTCCACGTCTGACCATATGCTTTCATCTCCTTTTCACATGACCTCCTCCTCAATGTCACCCTCGCATTGACGACCAACTCGTCGCTTCCCGTTCGGGTTCCACTCGAGTGATGGCCTGTCTTGTGATGTCACTTGATGGCTTGTTTTCCCAGAATATGGCCAATCCAATCCACCTCTATTTTTTCCTGCATATTTGTTGCACAACTGGTTCCTGGTGGGTTGGTTCGCTCATTGCCAGAGATCCAACCCTGTTGCTGACCTTTTCTAGCCGGCCATCTGATCTTGAGTAGTATTGAGCGAAGACAGCTGTTGACGAAGGTCTGTAGTTTGTTTGTTTGAAGTGCTCTTCATGACGCGCAATGCAAGTCTCTGATCCGTATGGTAAGTAGCACTGACTTCACATTGGAGTTGAAAATCTGGATGTTATATTTTGGAATCCAAGAATTGATACAAGTTGTAATTCACGGACCAAGTGGTTGAATGGTTTAACAGCTTGACTTGTAACCGGAAAGTCCTGAATTCATTCAAACCTCAGTGATGGGGGTGTGTACTGCCAATGAGTCCTCGAATAGAAGGACGAAAAAAAGTCTTTATACAACTGGTTCCCTTGATAAATTTCGATAAAGAAAGGAAGACGAAATTTGCAGTATAAAATGATATCGTCATTCTATTTCACAGGTTCTCATCAGCTGCAGACTACCTGAAATTACAATGGTTATATCAATGATAATAACATACTTTAATGTTTGAGTGGTAGTAGAGAAGAGATACTATAAAACTGACGCATTCAAAAAAGAATGAAAGCATTACAATTTTTAGTTTAAGTTTTCATCATCAATTTATACACTTTCAAAGTTGAAAAGAGTGGGAGGAGGGGTAAGACAGAAAACAGAAAAAAACTGATTAACAGAAACAGTGTTAGCTTGTAGGTTCACAATGCAACTCAAAAAAACAAAAGCGATTACAGTTTATAAGAGTGAGATTTGTTCAGTGAGTTGAGATCACTAGTAAATTTGCCGAAGCGATCACAATCAAACGATTTAAACCAGACTTGTGCATACAGAAAGACAGTGTGATTAACCTCTCACTACCTTGCTAACTGAATTTTGATTCTGATTACATTAATAATTAGTCATCTAATTCACTGATCTCAACTCACTGAACAAATCTTAATCTCATAAACTGTAATCGCTTTTGTTTTTTGAGTTGCATTGTGAACCTACAAGCTAACACTGTTCTGTTAATTAATTTTTTCTGTTTTCTGTCTTACCGCCCCCCCCTCTTTTCAACTTTGAAAGTGTATAAGTTGATGATGAAAACTTAAATTAAAAATTGTAATGCTTTCATTTTTGATGCGTCAGTTTTATAGTATCTCTTCTCTACTACCACTTAAACATTAAAGTATGTTATTATCATCTATATAACCATTGTAATTTCAGGTAATCTGCAGCTGATGAGAACCTGTGAAATAGAATGACGATATCATTTTATACTGCAAATTTCGTCTTCCTTTCTTTATCGAAAAAATGTCTGTTCAACACTCCGTGGTATTCACAATTTCATTTAACAATTCGACTACTTCATCTACAACCGAGCTGATTTAAGCTGGAAGGTGCGCACAAACATACATGCATAAATATCCGATGAAAGGTGTCAAAATCCCCTTTGAGGAGGAAGTACGCCTAATCAATCAATGTTGTTGTTGCTGTTGTCATCGTTATGTGATGAATGAATACTGATCAAATAAAAAAATAAATGACTTTCTCTAAATAATTGTCTAGTTAGAAAGCAAGTTAAAACAAAATTAGCAAAAATGATTTATGCGTAAAAATTGATTGTTTTCAGTGTACACACACACATACACACACTCAAGCAATCATAGAAACATAAATAAAAAGACAAGCTGTGTGTGATTAGGCTTCGAGAAGGATCCAGGAATCACAGAGACACATAAGCGTACAATGTGTATACATAATATTTTTGTTGTATTTACACTGGTGCATAATCAGTTTTCTTTAAAATAAAAAAAAAGTGTCTGTATAACATTTCTTTTATACAATAAAAAATAAATAGATAAATAAATAAATAAATGAAACAAGCAATTAGAAAAAAAACGCAACAGATAAACAGTAAACAAGACACCAGTAGCAAAAAGAAAAAAAACAGAATCGGAATTATGAAAGGCGTGAAATTTGATTACAGAAAGTGGGAAAAAAGCCAAAAAACTGGTTTTTTCAAAAAAAAACCACATTCTTTCGCCTATCTTTTGTTATATAGTTAATAAAATCTGTGAAAATAAATATAATAATAATTAATAACAATATAACACCGAATGCGTTAAACGAATCTCCGGGTGAAAACTTCAAGAAACAATCTAGTTATAATAATATAATTTTTGTATATAGAGAAGAGATCATTTTTGGTTTTGATTGCTATTCAATATTCTTATAACAAAGAGGCTAAAAGCTCAATTCTATCGCGAACTCGATGCAAGTAGGCCTGAGTTTCAACAACCATTTGTAAAAGTTGTTTAACATCAGTAGAATCAAGACAGACGTCAGTTGATAACGGAGGACTGAGACGAAAGAATGGTACACCGAGTGAACCACACCAAGCACTTGCACGATCCACAACTCGACCTAAGAAATGAAAAAAAAATAATGAATAAGGGAATGTCTGTCTGTCTCTCTGTCTGGATTCAACATAGAACTTGGCACCGAAGTGCAGCAGTTCGAGTTGCCACGTTCCAAATAGCACACAAAGGTAGACAAGAAAATGAGTGAAGAGAATCAATAAAGTTTTGACAAGTATAAGAGTGAAACAGAATGAGTAATGGTAGAAAGGAATATGAAAGATTACAGAGACTGAATACATCTGCGTAAGCCATTGACAACGATTTTGAGCCATGTCACCTATTGTCTGTCTTCAGCCATTGATTCTTAGAGTCCCGAGGGTGGGCCCCAACCAGGAAGTCTGCATCTCCCTACCTGACTCACTTTAACTGTCAGGGATTTCATGGATTGACTGATGCCATGTTTGTGTTTGGCCACCACTTACTCTTTTCCAACCTGCACCTATATCAGCTAGTAATGGCCGTCGGGGGAGACGATAGTTAGGCATACGTTAGTTAGGCACGTGACCTAGCCATCTCAATCTATGTGACTTCATAGCCTCTTCGATTGATTTTCCCTCTTTGCCCAACACTCTACGCCTAACGTCAACATTACTTACCTTATTATACCACCTAACGTGAGAAAGAGATCGTAGACATCTATGATCAAAAACAGTCAACCTTTTCATGTCTTCAACTCGTATTGACCATGTTTCAGAGACATAGAGAAGGACGGAGTGAACTGCTGAGCAGTACACACGTCCCTTGGTTGATAGCCGGATGTCACACCTACGCCAGAGATGGCGTAAGTTAGCGAATGCAGCTCGAGCTTTTTGGATCCGTGCCACATATTGTTAAAGAATATTTATTGCATTTATGCATTAATTATTCTACTAACGATGTAAGTGGCTCAAGTTGAAAATCAAAAGGCCACAGTAAGTAAGCAAGTGAGTAATTGAGTGAGTGTCATCAATAATAGCTAGGTTGGTGCCTAAAATACCGACAACTCCAATCTAGTAGTCTACAGGCCTCTAAGTGCCTGGTTCAAAGGTTCAGCCTCTCAAAGACTACATTGACTGATGACAGGGGCTTTGATTTGAATATTCCTTAACTCTTTACAAACCTAATCGTATGTCACTTAATCATTACTCAGTCAGCAAGACGCGGCTTTGGCAAGCGCAATACGTGTCCTAGTCATCTCAATCAATATAACTTGATAACCTCATCGATTGACTCGCCTACTTCTCACCTTACCTAACAGTCTATGCCTACCCCGAATATTACCACTGACCATATTCTACCACTTAACAAGGGAGATTGACCTCAGGTATTTGTGTTCTACGACGGCTAGCCGTTTCATAGCTTCCACATTTGATGACCATATTCCACACATCCATAAAGAAGGATAGAGTGAACTGCTGTTCAGTACACACATCTACTGATCGATAATCGAGGTTCGATCTCCCGCCGACGCACACCTGATATCTATGGTCAGCCTGCTAAATTTGGGCTACCGATATCACATGCTGAAAATGTCATACTTGTACCAAAATACTGTGTGGAATCGAGCTATAATTAAATTTTTAAAAATTAAATAAATATCATGTTTAACGCCAGTGATGACGTGATTTGGTAAGTGGCTAATGAGACTAAATAGTTGTCTGTTGTTACCAATCGTCGATGCCTTTTCCATATCTTTTCCTTTTGTCCCCCTCCCGTCGCATCACTGTTCCAACGTCGTTGGTCAGCTTGCATTTGAGCAGCCTTCACTCCTCGTCACATTCGGGGTCCACCGGGACCTATTTTGTTGTGTCCACCACACTCCAAAAATATCACCACCAAGAAGACTACAACCAACTTGTCAGCCAAGCTTGTTTACACTTACTTTCCAAACTTGATATTTTATTTTATTGATTTTTGATTACAGCTTGATTCCACACCGTATTTTTCGGTACAGGTATGGAATTTTCAGTGTGTGATATCGGTAGCTGAAATTTTGCAGGCAGACCATAGATATCAGGTGTGTGTCGGTAGGGGATCGAACCCCAGACCATGTGAATGAACGGCGAGAGTCATAACCGCTGTGCCACTGACTGCACACACGATCTTTATTGAAGTCTACTGGAAGGCGATACTGATGCTGCTTTTGACAATATGTGTCACAATTGTCTGAGAGCTGGTGATATTACCCAGTTGCCCACGTTGAAGTAGGCGTGAAGTGGCATTCGTGACCAAGTAGGCCTCGTTGATAATGCCTCAGAGTTTTTTGAAGTGATAGGCACACTGGGTTCGAGTCATAGTGCGAAAACTATCGTTCACCGAAGATGCAGGTATATCCAGCTGACCAGTTCCAAATAGGACACAAGCCCTCGACTTACAGCTAATGCGTCCTGGGCTCAAGCTCATCTTCACCTACTTCAACCTGGATATTACCACCATCAGACGTCATATAATAAATATGGCTTAGCCTGATAGATGGAAGATGTATTCCACGTAAATCGATTCAAAGGTTGGTATCTACTTTCGTGCAAAATATAAATATTTAGTTTGTGGATGGTGACTAGCAGTGGAATCCAGGATGTGCATTTCGTCCTATTTGGGACTCGTCAGCTGGATATACCTGCATTTCTAGTTAAATGCCCAGACATCGTCGAAGAATCTGCACAAGAAGCCGACATGTCAACCTGAGACCGATCAATCGACGGGAAAATCTAAAATTCAAACAAAATATAAATATATTCTTGAAAACTAACTCACCTTCTGACATGGTTGCAACTTCAACAAGTATACGACCAAGAAAACTGAAACCAAGAACAGATCGATAGGTTTCCATAATATTCTGTGGACGAAACACATCCACTGTTTCTACAGGTATAACAGGCATTCGACCAGTTCCCAGGGAGACAACTACAGCGATTGGAGTTATAGGTTTATTCTGTTGAAGGGAAGAAGACAATTTATTTTTTTTCAGAACATCATTCAAATATGCAGTAAAAAGAAAGAATTAAAAGTCATTCTGTACACAAAGGATCAGCCACAAATTCAAACTATGAGGCAATTTTATAAGCTCTAGAGTGATGATGATGATGAAAAGTTGAAAAGAGAGAATTAAACTCAAGGAACTCAACGATACCATACTTGGCCCGTGTTCTAAGTGACAGAGACAATGTTAAGCGCGAAACCTATGACTTGCTTTGTTGTTAATAACATAATTTTAGGCTCTCTTATTTCTCTCTTATTTTGCATTCTATAGTGAACACCTTCTTAAACATACTTAGCAAACTAAATTATTAACATTGGCTTCCTTTTTTGTACTTTACTATATTCCTTCTTTTGTGTATCCACTGGTTCCGACTATATTAGCACTATGAGTATTACAAAATTGTCCTGTCACTAACCATCATGTAATTATTAGTTTTTGTGGTTGTTGTTTTTTTTGTTGTTCGGCAATATTAACTGACAATCATTGGTTGTGAAAGCCATTATCACCATCTTAAAATTTTGTATTATGCAGGATTACTCACACTACCACTACAAACACTGCATTAGACCTGACAATAAAAACAAAACAACAACCCTGAAATGTTATTTTATGATTGTTTAGTGTTGCTTCAACCAAATTAACTGATCATCTTGGCGAAAAACATTCTTAAATATCATTTCATAACTTCTTGTATGACTATAGCTTTACTGTCACCATGCACAATCACATCATAGCTTCCACTACCCAATACTGAGATATTATTATATTATTTATTTTCCTTTCTACTTCTTGGTATTTTTTCGCATTAAAAAAAATTATTTTGTGTTCTTTTTGCTGTTGTTGTCTTTATACTTATTTTTTTTTGAAAATACTCCTATTAAACGTTGGATAAAATTAGATGCAAATACTGTAGATATGTGCTGAAAATTCCACACTGTACCACTAGTACTGTTTCTGGAATAAAGTAAATTATTATTATTATTATTAAACCGCATCAGAGGTGAACGGTAATACTTACTAAAAATTCTTATTATCTTTGTAGTAAACAACATTTTCCATCTATTCTTGAAATTACATTCGATTGTTTATTATAGCTATTACTCTTGCTTATCATACATACACATTACTGTAGAGCCTTTAAAACAAAACAATTTAGTTTATCTGATACCCTGCCTGCAATGATTGTCAGGTCAAATACATAGGTCAAACTAGTAGAACAGGGGCAGTCAAACTAGCTGAACATAAAAACCTAGCAAAATCTAGATTAGTTGACCCGAATAAGATAAGAAATCTAGAGAATAGTTCAGCTATACCACTCACTATATGCAATTACACACAACCATACAATATAGGATGGATGGGATAAGATGACAGTTTTAAAATCTAATGTCACAAGGTGGAGGGAGAGATTGATAACGGAAGCTTTGTTTATCGAATCAATTGAGAGAGAATACGTGTAATAGGAATGATTCAACACCTGTCCATCCGTATATCTGGAAAATTCTACTACCCCAAACGACGACAAATAGGAGAGAGAGAACAGAGAAAACTATAAAACTCAAGTTTTGAAGTGGTGTGATTATAACTAACGATGTCAGTGTGAACAATAAGTGAATTTTGTTCGAAACATTGTCATCCAGTAAATAATAATACTGTTTCACCGTGCCATACATCTAATAAACAAACTAATATGGAATTACACATTACTTTAGTTGTTTATTCCGGACAGCTATTCCCACGATGACGCACTCAAATAGACTATGATGTAATCGTTATTTTTCCACCCAAGGGAATTTTCTAGCATGTATCATGCACACCTTCTCGTCTGACTAAATTCTGTCTTAGAGTCTTTTGAGGGAATTTAAAATTTTAAGCACAATAAAGTATAAATATTAAAAGTCAATCTGAACGACGAAGAATATTCTTTTCAGTAATTTCTCCTCTTCAGGTTCTTACAATTATAAAATATAATATTTATTGTCGTTACAATAATGATAGCCAGTTATGCGGCGGATACATTTTTTTTAACGTAGAATAACAGATTAGTAGTTATGGGGTGTCAAAATAAATAGTCGTATTTGTGTGACAAATGTGCTGGGCTGAAATCGATTACAAAATATTTCGGTGAAATGGGAGACAATGGTGGTGATTAGTCATAATAGATTTGTGGAGTGTGGGGTAGGAAAATTGACAAGTCAGTTCAATATTCGTTATTTCATTGTGAACCTCTCATTGCAGTCTTACTATCTCCTGTTTAATACAGACCACTTTGTACTAGCCACTCACCTGACACCTTTTATAACCTTGAACTGACTTATTTGTCAATTTTCCTACCCCACAATGTACAAATCTACTATGACTAATCACCACCATTGTCTCCCATTTCACCGAAATATTTTGTAATCGATTTCAGCCCAGAGCAAGTTTGTCACACAAATACGACTATTTATTTTGTCACCCCATAACTAATCTGTTATTCTACGTTAACGAAAATGTATCCGCCGCATAACTGGCTCTCATTATTGTAACGACAACAAATATTATAATTGTAAGAAGCTGAAGGGGAGAAATTACTGAAAAGAATATTCTTCGTTCAGATTGACTTTTAATTCATGTGATATGGGAATATTTCACACTATTAAGTATAAATAATAACTGAAGTTGATTTCGTGTCATACTGTTACTGTATATCGAAATCTTTGGCAGTTGGAATAACCAGTCTACGATTCTATAGACAACTCAAAATGGGGTAAAGCAGGTCGGCTGTGAGGACAAATACTCGCCAGCGATGACACTGGCTAGTATCAGTCGCGCTATATCGTGAATTATTGGCATAAGTTGAAATTCATGAGCTGGCCAGTGAACTGCATCCCAGTGGCTTAATGGTCTACGATCTCACCTTGAAACTGGAAGGTTCTGGGTTCGAACCCTGCTGGTAGACGAGTAATGCTGGAGAATCCCACATCAGGCGGAAAAAACAGCTGGTCAGTGCTCCCTGCTGGTTTTCCAATGGTTCTCTAGCCGATGTCTGCTCATGATGAAATCCTGTAGCCAGTCAAATCCCTGCACATCACCACTCAACTCAAAATAGTTAGAAATTATATATATCCAAACCAAGTTCACTTTTAACAGTTTGAAAAAAGGTTTGGGCGTTGGGTATACGATATTCATTATAATAAAGAGTTTTTTGTATTTCCCAATGAATGAATGAAAAACAAAACGATATTGTTGTTTTTAGTGACGTTTCGCTATTTAATGCTGCTGCTAATAGCTTTATCAAAGTATTATTATTAAACCAGAATTTACAAACTCCACTCAGTTGATATACAACAACTTAGCCGTCGTTCCTCAGTATGGAGTCATTTTTCCGTCGAGCATCTGTTCGACCACCGAGACATAAATCCAGTTGAACTAGAAAAGCTTGAAAAATCATCAGCCATAGGTCGTCTACACGCTATACAATCAGGCCACAAAAATGATTTTGACAATATTGAAATAATCCAGAAAAGACTTCAGAAATCACAAAGAACGTCTAATATCAGCAGAAGCACTTCATATCAAGTGGAATCCAAACTGTCTGAATAGGAATGATGGACTAAAACAGAATTTGACCTGGTTACAACACTCCCACCTCCCCCATGAAGTCACAGAATCAACACGAATGTGATAAGCAATTTCATTATGTAAACACACGCTGTTTTTATAATTTTACACACTTATCAAATCAATGGAGACGCACGGCTGAAGCCCTATGTTCCTCTAGGAATTAAAAGATATAATAATAATAATAATAACCAAATCTAACAATCCACACCTGGTTTTGTTATCTTTACTAACTGGCCAATTTGACAACGAAAAATGACCTCATGTTGAGGAACGATGATCAAGTTAGTAAACTTTATTTTGATATCATAACAGATGTACTATTACCTTTGTTATTTGGTTTAGTGATCTTCATTGGTATTTTAACCTTTTAACTTGACCTAAGTCTATTTTGTCACCTCTTAACTCTTTGTTATATATATGCTGAGTGGATTTTGTAAATTCCGGTTTAATAATACTTTGATAAAGCTATTAGCAGCAGCATTAAATAGCGAAACGTCAGTAAAAACAATATCGTTTTGTTTTTCATTCATTGGGAAATACAAGAAAACCTTGATTATAGTTAGAAATTTGTGATTTTTCTTGTCGTTATCACTTGAGCACTATGTCTTACAGAACGGCTAGGTAACAGTTGTATAAATATGCTTCAGTTGAATAGTCGAATCCAAACAGTGTTGAATTACACCATTGGTGGTATTCATCATATCAGAATACGATCATTTTCAAGAGTTGGTTTGCAGGGATTCGATTTGTATCCAGTTTGATCACGGATTGGCATCAGTTAGAGCTGACATCGGTTAGAGAAGCTTTGAAAACCATGGAGTCCTTCTAGTTTGGAACTCTTCACCAGTACGCATCCATCACTGGGGTTCGAACCCAGGACAAGTCAAGCTACTAAACCATTCAGCTACTGGGACCCGTACGCACCAGTACGCGCAACCACCAGGCAATATCATAGGTGAGTACTTCTCTGCACACCCAACCTGGTGGGCCGCACTGGTCACACCTTCTCCCTAGAACTGTAGGCGATTTCATCCTGTAGCCACTCACTGGCGAGATCACCAAATTAATTAATTCTCAGGAGTTATTTTACTCAATGGCGTGACTCTAAACCATAGCGGGCCAAAACGAAACCACACCTAGTGAACGCATTAATGACCTTGGGCAACCAGTCAGATTAGTCCGCAGTACATAAGCGGAATAATGCGTGATGTACACGAATTATGTACCAAATCTAGTGTTCAAGTACTGCTTAGACCACAGGCTCATTGGAAGGGAGAAAACGTGTAGCCAACTGTCATCCCCGGACCAAATTCATAACATTGTCAATAATACAGACGATTTCGTTAATCATTTCGATAGAACGCATAGAAATGGGCCAAGTTAAACTTTAAGCACCACTAACTACCAATGGAGTGCGGCCGCACCAGTGACCTTGATACGCTCACTGAGCAAGTTAGTGAAACCTGGCAAATAATGTTGTCATCATCAATAAAATATGCTCATCGAAGTGTTATGCTATTAAATGAGATATCTGGCAAGTTATAGCTTAGGATTGTGAAAGATTAAGTTACGCTTTAAGCCAAGGACAAGTTAGGGTTAGGTTAACCTAATTAAGGCAGCATTATGGTTGGTTCGAGTTAGATTACAGTTAGTTTAGAAATATTTTCACGTTAGGGTTAGGTTCAGGAAAGATTAGGGTTATTGTTAGGGTTAGAAGACCTAAATAATTACATGCATAGAATGTGGTTAAATTACTCTGTTGATATAAGAATAGAACTTGTGCACTATGGTAGAGTATAATTCCATTGTGGGTAAAATTTATTCTGATAAAGCCTCACAGAGATATACAGTAATATTTACTGATGACCACGTTTCGAGCACAATTTGCTATCCAGTAAATATTACTGTATAACACTATGAGACTTTATCAAAATAAATTTTACCCACAATGGAATTATACTCTGTTGATACTACAAACTAAAACTGAGAGCTATTTTTATCACATGTGAGAGGAAGGTATCTTCTGTAGCACTTTTCTACGGTTTTTATGCATTTTTTTCCATAAATATATGTATTCCATACACAAAAATGCCTCCTTCATGTGATTGGTGCGTTCGAGGTCATTAGTTGATTGGTAGTGGGTGGTGCTTAAAGTTTAACTTTGCCTAGAAATACCGTCGAACGTTTCTAGAATCACCTAAAATAGAGGGTAGGAGAAGTGAATGAACCAAGAAACACAATGATATATAGTTATATCTCGACGAATTTACGCACAGAAGCTGGTTCTTGGAACAAGAAGTTGTTCTATGCAACTACTTTTTAACATTTCATTACTTATTTATATAATCGTCTTTTTCAAATTACGCACTTCTGCTTCGGACACGTCTGATTGGTCCGTAGAGACTTGTCAAGGTCTTTTTTATTGGGTAGTTTTGTTTTGGGCTGCTATAGTTTAGAGTCACTCTCTCAATAGTTCTGTAATTGACATCAATCTATGATCAGGCTTGAAACTATAATAAATTAAATGCGCCTTTGATATATACTGATGAAATAACTGTGGTCAGAAGTGGAAATCAATCACGAGTCGTAGAACAAAACAATCCCGAGGATAGAAAGATGACAAAATTTGTAATATGAAGAAGTCATGTAAAGTGTATGAATTATTTAAAAAAAAAATACATGTAGGATGTGTTTAGATTGAAAAAATACAACAACAACAACAACACGTTTTCCGAATTATTATTTTGTACTATGTAACGAGACCAACAAGTCACATGTGTTGGAGACAAAAGTGAAAAATATTTACTCATCATAAAGAGTATTTTCAATTTGTAAAAAGCATAGCCATAAGTAGTCCACTTCCGGTTTATCTAACATTTACTGTGATAACATCAAAACTTAAAGGAGGTGAAGATGACAGTCGGCAATTCACACATCGGACGGCCTGCTTAAATCCTGGGCTACCGAAAACCTTTATCTTATTCATTTTGTTTAAATCTAGTGAAATATGACCTCGAACAATATTGTTTACTCTGGCGGGTATTTTTAAGTAAAACATTTACAACCACCTGCTGATTCGCATGTTTTGTACTAAACGTGAGGGAAAGCATGACACCTTATCGCCAATACATATGAGATGACCATTCCTGAGTGGTGTCCTTAGTTCACAAAATGTACTCTTCAACCAAATGTCGCATATTTCTCGAGGTCAGATAGAACTGTGTCTTACCTAATCTACTGCCAGTTAATCGTTTTTATTTGAACATCCTGGACGAAGGGAAGACATCATGCAATAAACTTTGCTAAAAATTATGTACATTTTATAAACATTGTTCAGAATAAAGCTATCATTATTATTGTTATATTGCTTCATAGAATAATTAATGCATGTTTCATGACAGATTTGGAAGACAGGAATACTTATGAGGATACGGTATTGTGTCAATCTGTCCTAGTGAGAGGAAATTACCCACCCGGGGGGGGGGAGGGAGAAAGAAAGCAAAAATAAGAGTGGAGAGGAAAGTTTAAAAAGAAGTGGTGTCTCCACCGCGGATTGTACGTTGCGATAAACAAAACTACACGTTTCAGTAAATGTCCAGAAGTTTTTCTCTATACTTCACGCTCTTTAGATATGGCTCAAAGTGATCGTTCTCAATGGCTGGCGCAGATGCATCCATTCATTGTGACTTATAATTTCCAATGAAACTATATTGTTCTTCGTTATTACTATTCCTTTGTCTCATATCTCTGTCTACTGTCTTTATTATGCATTTCTTCTACTTTCTTCTCATGCTCTGTGTGCTACATGGAGTGTGGTGGACTTGAACTGCTGCACATCGGTGCAAAGTTCTATGTTGAAAAGACAGACAGACTCTTTAGATTATGAGAAATTTGATATATATATATATATATATATAATTCTCATTCAGTCTATGTTCAGCGGTATAACGCTGTGGTCTGGAATTCGATTCCCGGCTGACGCACTCCTAACCCTCTCCAAGCCGGTAGTAAGGGGGGGGGGGAAGGTTGGACATGAGAGTTGCAGCCTCACCCCGTAAAAACAAACACCACTGCTGCCGAAACTTCAAGACTGTAGCTTGAAGCTCTATCTTCCACTAGGAAAGTAAAGGAATAGAATTTGTAAAAACCCGTCAGTCTATTAGTACGGGCGAAAACAATATGCAGTGCTCCGCCCTACTTCCGCTAGCTATAAGAAAGACAAAGAGACAAATATCGTTCAGGTTATCCATTATTAAAGCAATATTTGAGTAGAGCTACTACGGTCGTTATTATTTTCGGTTATATTTGACGAGTGACGAGGGTGGGGAGAGAGGGAGGGCAAAACACGACTTACACTTCACATAAGGGTTCAGATCAACTTATGAGAGAAATCATGAATCGCTAATGTGTTTTGTTATGATCATCTCCTCATTTTTCGCAATATAATTGTGTCTAAGTTGATATGCGTATGCGGAGTAACTGGGGGTGTTCTGTCTGTCTGTTTTCAACATAGAACCGCGCACCGATGTTCAGCAGTTCAAGTCGCCACACTTCACTTTGCACACAAAACCAGAGAAGAAAGTAAAAAGAAATGCAAAATAGAGACAGTAGACAGGGATATGAGACAAAAGTAATAGTAATAACGAAGAACAATATAGTTTCATTGGATATTAAAGGTCACAAGAAGTGGATGCATCTACTCCACTGACAACGATTTTGAGCCATATCACCAATTGTCACCAGCCTCCATTGGTGCTTACCGTCCCGAGGACTCCAACCAGGAAGTCTTAACTGGTGGTGTTATGTCCTTGTTAAAATATGCAACTTCGGTTTACAGTCGTGTTGGGTGACTTCTCTTACTAACTCAAAACTCTACGGATAACTGACAAACTGCATTGTGAAATAATACCCAAGAGAAAAGATGGTGAGACGTCGTTAATTTTTCGTAAGTCCACTTATCAATTCCATAAATAGGATTTCATTAGGAGTATAAATCTCTTGTTTGCTATCAAGACTCTGCATAAGTTGGCAAACTTCGGCTAATCGTAAATGTAATTTTATATCTGAATCACTCACTTCTAAACGTTGAAGAAGATGCAGTTCTTGGATTTCTGTTAAAATATCCAACGTTGGATTGTTTGAAATCAATCCACCATCCAGAAAACGACCACAAGGCCGAAAGTAGGTCGGTGCAGCACCTGAGGCACGAGCAGCTTTCCAAACCAGCTAATAGAGTAACAGAGGGGAAAAAATGAAATGGAGTATAGTGTAACATAATTAGTTTAGTTGACCTTTCAAAGTATCTTTAAAAAAAAAAATAAATTGAAGAGTATTCAACATTCTTTATATAAATCAAAAATTGAACAGTTCGAAACCTTATGCTGAAATTAGGGTTGATTTGATCAAGAACTAGTTCCATAGCTGACACATGTATAAGGTAAGGGTAAACTACCTGAGAAATAAACAAGATGGTATAAATTTCACCTGTTCTTGAGGAGTCAACCACGGCTCTAACTATTCACAGACAGAGAAACCGGAGCTCTGCATACAAACGAAAATTATTCAATCACTTCTGTTATCATGGTAACAACTTTTTATTCGCTTTTGTATGCTTGTGTTTTTAACTCTTTTTGACATAACACTCTTTTGTATTATTTCCGAACGTTTACGTCATATCGCATTTTCCTTCGTTTCAATATGCATCCTGAGATCACAACTCAAACATTCTAGATAACACAATCACAAACGTGGCATGTTATCTTAAATTCTCTCTTGATGTCTGTTTTCCTGACCGAAAGAGACACTCTTTTTAAGATTTGAACACTTTTCCTCTTCTCAAACTCAAAAAGATTCAAGTGTTGGTTTGTAAGGATTTGATTAGTTACAGGATTTTCATCATGAGCTGACATTGGCTACAGAACCATTGGAAAACCTGGGAGTACTGGACAGCTGTTTCGTCCTATTTTGGGACTCCTCGTCAGTACGCACCCACTGGAATTCGAACCCAGGACCTTCTGGTTACAAGGCGAGCTCGTATACCATTAAGCCACGGCGAGCCGATCCAATGACCAGCCCATAAATTCCAGCTTCTGCCAATTCACGACATAGCGCGACCGCTAGCCAATGTCTTGGGCGAGTATTTGTCCTCACACTCGACCTGCTGCACCCTACTGGTCACGACTTCTCACTAAAACCCCAGGTAACTACCTACCTGAATAGGGCAAGTCGCTAGTGAGCATTCGCCGAGAAAAAGAAAAGCTATACAAAAAGGAAAGACAATCCTGGCGCTAAGGCTGAACATTTGAATTAAATCAAAAGTACAGAGATCAAATGTGGAAACCTTTCAAAGAAATTACTAGTGGTAAGCTATGTACTTCTGTTCCATCTCTTAATGTTGATACTCCTAAATAAGTCTTTCATACGCTATTCTGTCGATATCCTTCCTAATGTTACAAATCCTATAGACAACAGTTTTAATGGTTTTAATACCCTTGATGTGCTTAAATGTCTCCGGTCTCTTAAGCCTTCCCAAAGCCTTGGTCCTGATGGTGTACCTGCCTTTGTCCTCAGGAACTGTGCTGATATTTTATGTTACCCTCTTACTAACATTTTTAATGCTTCCTTTTCCAGTAATGTTCTACGTTTTGCATGGAAAAACATTAAAATTATTCTCATACCAAAACCATCTTCTGGTAATGATATTAAATTTAGGCCTATTGCAATTACTTTTCCATTTTTAAAATTGATGGAAAAATTACTTTTACTTCGTCTTGAACCTTCATTGAAACCTTTCAGTGATCCTAAACAATTTGCATATAAACATGGTAGATGCATCTTGGATGCTGGGGATGTCTTATATCATAATGTTGTTTCTTGTTTAGACAAAGGTGGCAAATATGTTCGTGGTGCTTTCCTAGACTACACATCTTCTTCTGATTCTGTAGCTAGGGGTCTTTTATTCAATAAGCTTTCGTTGACGCAAGCAGGATACTGGGCTAAGAGTTGGTTGCATTTTTATTTTTCTGATAGAATGCAGTATACTGCATATAATGGCAAATCTTCTTCTGCTTTGCTTACAAAAGCCGGTGTTCCTCAAGGTGCCCTCTTCTCTCTCTTTCTTTTTTCTTTCTTCCTACACGACCTGCTTCATTTAAACGAAACTAACTTTGTCAAATATGCCGATGATCTGACTGTATCACTGCCTATCACTTCCGAGTCTGACAGCTTTCTGTTGGACATCAGCAAGTGGTCTAAGTCAAATGGTTTTAGGTTCAGATGGTGTACTAGCTATTATTCTCAACAAATGTGCTGACATCTTATGTTATCCTTCCACTGGCATTTTCAATGAATCGTTTTCCACCAGCATTGTGCCTGCTTGTTGGAAGGACATTAAAACTGAGCCTGTACCAAAATCATCGAGTGGACCGACTGTTAAGTTCAGACCTACTGCCATTACTTCACCTTTTTCTAAAGTAATGGGAAAACTGCTCTTACTTAACCTGGAACTTACATTGAAGGCTTTTAACAATCGTAGTCAATTTGCTTATAAAGATGGTAGGTGCACTTCAGATGCTACTGTCGTTTTAAATCATAATATTGTCTCTTTTACCTACCTGGGAAGCATCGTTCCAATTACAGGTGGACGGAACTGACGAGGATATCAAAGCAAGAATCGGAAAAGCAAGACAAACTTTCACTACTCTCAAGTCTGTGTGGAGGTCAACAGAACTGCTCAGCATCAAAAATAAGATCCGGATTTTCAACTCCAATGTGAAGTCAGTCAGTGCTACTCACTATACGGATCAGAGACTTGGCCAGCGCGTCATAAAGAGCACCACAAACAAACTACAGACATTCATTAACAGCTGTCTTCGCTCAATACTGCTCAAGATCAGATGGCCGGCCAGAAAAGATCAGCAACAGAGATCTCTGGGAGCGAACCAACACAGCAGGAACCGATTGTGAAACAAATAGGCAGGAAGAAATGGAGATGGATTGGCTGGCCATACTCTGAAGAAACCATCAAGTGAGTGACATCACTAGACAAGCCATTGCTCGAGTGGAACCCGAAAGGGAAGCGGCGAGTTGGTCGTCAGTGCAAGGGTGACATAGAGGAGGTCATGTGAAGAGGAGATGAAAACGTGTGGGCAGACTTGGAGCGACGTGAAAACTCTGGCAGAGAACCGAATGCAATGGAAACGCACGGCTGAAGCCCTATGTTCCTCTAGAAATTAAAGGAAACAATAATAATAATAATTGTCTGTAGTTTAGACAAAGGTGCCAAATATGTTCGGTTCACATTCCTAGATTATACATCTGCCTTTGACTCTGTACCTGGACGTCTTTTGTTAAACAAGCTTGCTGCGACACAAGCAGACTGCTGAACTAATAAATGGCTGTATTCCTATTTTTCTGATAGGAGGCAGTACACTGTTTACAATGCGAAGCCCTCCACTGCTTCACTTACGCTAGCTGGTGTTCCTCAGGGAGCTGTATTTTCTCCTTTTCTGTTTTCTTTCTTCTAAAATGACTTGCTCCATTCTGACGAAGCCAGTTTCGTCGATGATCTGACTATTTTTGTGCTTGTTACTTCTCAGTTAGACTGTTCCAAAATGAATAACTTTTCAGCAGAAATTAGTTAGTGGTCCTCGTCAAATGGTCTTAAGCTTAATCTCTCCAAATGCCAGATGATTAATTTTAATTTAATAGACAAAAGATCAATAGTTCAGCGAAGAGTCTCTTTTCGGCAGCGAATTTATTTTCCTATCTGTACAATCGTAAATACATATATAGTTGTTTTGTATGTGTGTGTACATTAAATTTGTTAAGTGAAAATACAATTAATAAGTTCAGATGAATTGGATGTTGATATAAGAGAATCGTAACAAAAGTGATGAGTTGTCACAAACGATTGTTAAAGAAGAGTTACGTAATAACATGAATAGTTTAATGAAAGAGTTGTACTCAGGGTGTACATAGAAACAAAATATACGGAATTACACAAGGATTTTAAGTAGTTAGAAAAATAGGCATACAAACAAAAGTTAAGTCAAATCAAACAAATAAACTTAACTTTTCTTTGTTTGTTTGATTTGACTTAACTTTTGTTTGTATGCTTACTTTTCTACTTAAAACCTTTATATAATTCCGTATATTTTGTTTCCATGTACACCCTGAGTACAACTCTTTTATTAAACTATTCATGTTATTACGTAACTCTTCTTTAACAATCGTTTGTGACAACTCATCACTTTTGTTACGATTCTCTTATATCAACATCCAATTCATCTGAACTTATTAATTGTATTTTCACTTAACAAATTTAATGTACACACACATACAAAACAACTATATATGTATTTACGATTGTACAGATAGGAAAATAAATTCGCTGCCGAAAAGAGACTCTTCGCTAAACTACTTGTCTTCTGTCTATTAATGTTCGAATGGGAATTTTTCATGAATTAATTTTACTTTCACCACCATCATAGATAGCATTAAATTTGAAACTAAGTCGAATGCAAAGAACCTTCCACTGTGTATTTCCTTGGATCTTTCCCAGTGTTTCAACATCACGTTAGTTTTCAGAAAGACACTTCATTTGACGTACTACGTACGGAAGTTAAGACGACCTAAGCTTGTCAGTTCTTGTATTCTGCCCAAACTTCTTAACTGTTCCCCCATAATCTTTCCCGGGGTACTTAAGAAAGACTTTGCCATACTGCGTGGGGCCCTAAAAGCTGTCAGTAGGGCAAGTGAGGTGTTGCTAAACCAACTCGTTAATGCTATTATAGATAGACACTTGGATTCCTGCAGGAAATTAGCAAATATTATCTTGTCAGACTCTGAGCATCCTCTCCATACACAACTCTCTGCCTGCATCCATCTCATCAGGTAGAACTAGAAGCAACTATAGAAGACTGTATGCTTGGACGACTAAGTACAAAAACTCTACAATACCTTATTTGGCAGGCATACATTTTATGTAATAAGAAAAGTGTAAGACAGTAAATTACCAACTTACTGAGGAACTCTAAGTAAACGGCATTTTCTTTTGTTCTGATCGTTACATTTTCCCTAATATTTCCACTTGACTTAATTTTATATTCACTTCTTATTGAACAATATTTTCAATGTAAATGCCCTGTTTTAGTTTATTACCCCTGCAATGGGGAAGTTAGATGCAATATTGTATTAAATGCTAAAAATTCTATATTTGTACCAAAAGTACTTTTTGGAATATAAGCTGTTATTAATATTAAATGACTTATCACGTAACTCTCACATCATTATTCAACTCCTCTAACGTATTGATTTATGTTAACAACTGTAATTATTTCAATTTTGATCGAGGATTGATATCAGTTAGAGAACCATTGGAAACCACCGCTGCAGTACTGGACAGCAGTTGCTTCGGCCCAGCTTGGGAATCATCGGCAGTACGCACCCACCACACGGGTTCGAAACCAGGACCCTCGAGTTACAAGGCAAGCTAGCTCGCAGACCATTAAGCAACCACTGGGATCCAAGTCAACGGCCAGTCCACGAATTCTAACTTCTACCAATTCGTAATTTGGCGCGACCACTAACCAATGTCATCGTTGGGAAATCAATCCTCACACGTGACTGGATGGACCTCATCGGTCACGACTTCACACTAGAGCGCTCCAAGAAACTCTGTCCTGTAGCAAGTCACTAGCGAGCATCAGATTTCCCAGGTAACACAGGGTTTTGAGCAGAACGTCTTCACTTCATCTTTTACTAGGCAGTCTTTTTCATCCGCGACTGTCCATAGGCTCCTGTCTCCACCTCACACGGGCTTATGTCCACAACTCGTCGTCTCCCATTTGGGTTCTACTCGAGAACAGACCGGGGGTGCAATATCACTCAACGGGTCTCCTCAGCTTGTGTCCGATCCATCTCCATTTTCTTGGGAATATTAATTGAGCAGTAGGCTCTTAGTTGGTTCATTCCCACAGTTTCTGGTTGCCAATTTTTTCTGGTCGTTTAACCTTCAGTATCCAGCCAGTGAAGGTGGCAGCTGTTGGAAATACGTTTCGTGACTCCAACATATATAGAAGAACTGACTGACTCAAGATTGGTGCTGGAAATCCGAGTCTTGTTGCTGATGCTTACTGCAGTGAATTTCCACATTGGCATCAATCACAGTAATGAATTCATGTCTTGTCTTCCGATACTGCCTTTGACATCTGCATCCGTTCCGCCTGTAGGTGAATCAAGTAACTTCTTTCAAATTTCTCCCGCCGATAGCGACTGATGCTAGTTGTTGTTGTTGTTGGCTAGGCATCGTCATCACCTGTGTCTTGTTTAACTTCGCATGAAGTAATGTCTTCACTGCCAGCTTCCACTGTCAACTTGTTGGCTTCCCGTTTGTAGATCTCCTAGTTTGTGTGACATTCGACACAAACTGCTAGCGAAGTCCAAATCTCCTAATGTCGATCAAATTGGTTCGCCTTCTCGCTATCCCGTAGGATTTGTTGGATGATCCACCCCACGAAAATCAGGAATATCATTAGGGATAGTAGTCAGCTTTGGCTTACACCTGTTTTCACTTCAAAAGCATGCCTAAAGTTTTCGTTGTGAATAGCTTGACATATGGCATTGTTATATAGCTGTTGAAAAAGAAAGGTTTATAAAGATGGCAGGTTTGTGTACAACCATCTTATCCTACTATAAAACAAGCTAGAGTGAAAAGATATTTGACAAGATATCTGACAAGAAACGCCAACAACTCTCTGAATGGGTCCATATACAAAAAGCCTACGTGGAATGGACAATTCACCAACTTTCAAAGCTTCGTGCCCCTAAGCAGAAAGAGGAACCTGATATACGCTCTTTCCTCGAGGATTCGGAAGGTATGCAGTGAGGAAGTGGTTGAAGAAGAACTGCGCAATCTCCGAGAAACCCTGATGGAAAATGATTTCCCGCCCAGGTTCATTGACAAGAATCTCAAATCTAAGAAGACTTCCAAACAAGTCCAATCCATTCCAAAGAAAATACTTCTGCTTAATCTAGAATTCAAAGGTGATATTGAAGCAGAAATCCTTCGTAAACGCCTCTCCAAATCACTGAGGAAAACATACTTCGCCGCGAGCCTACGACTAACGTTTTTCCTGCAATAAACTGTTCAACCAGAACGCGAAAGACAAGCTGTCGCATTGGGCCACCTCAACGTGCATATACCAGTTTACTTGCTCTTGTGGAGCTGAGTACATCGGCCATACCATGCGCCGACTTGGAAAACGCCCTCGCCAACACTACCCAGCCTGGCTAGTAAAAGGAGACCGAAAACACGTACACAGTTCAGTGACAGAACATCTGGTCAACTCAGGACATTCAGCGCCATTTGAAAAATCCTTCAAAGTAATTTACAAGATTCAATCAAACCTATCAAAGGGAGTGAAATCAAGACATCTAAGCATAGCTGAGGCGTTAGCTATCCAAAAGCTAAAACCCACTCTTTGTATCCAAAAGAAATACGTCCAACCCCTGTCCCCGCCATGACCATCATAAACAGGTAAATGTTTTTTTTCAGTAATGACCATCCCATCGCCTTTCTTATCTAAACTTCCTGTTTATTCATGTTATTTTAGGTTTTTCTTAATCCCTCTCTACACTAGCATATTTTCATATCCACACTTCCTGTTTATTTTGTCATTTCACTATTTCTACATATTTAATCCCTGATTGCATAAACAATTATTCATCATATTAGTTTTTTATCCAAACATCCTGTCTATTTTGTTATTTCTACATTTCTAACCCCCAATTGCACAATGTCAATCTTTTTTATTTATTATAATGCTATTTTGTTTGAGTTTTATCCGTCCCTCCTCCCTGTTTATTATGGCATACTAATTCCTAATTGTAATTTTTATTAATTTGACCATTGACCGGAAATTATTCTGGAACGTAGCCATCCATTTGATATAAATACACGGATGTACAGCCTAGTTGACGGTGACTTCGTTGAAAAGAAAATTTTCTTCGCTGCAATTGTCTTTTTGAAAAGATATTTATTAATAAAAACTTACTTGCTCATTATCCGGAGGTATCCGTTCAAACTGATCGCCTGATTCTACATCGGAAGTCGAAAGACCAGTATTGGTTTCATTGCCTGTTAAAAGACCTTGGGCATTCATAAAAAAGTTTAAAATGGAATGAGAAGTTGAAAGAGACGGAGATTTCGGCGACTGAGCTTCACGATCTGAGGATTCTTGAACAACTGAAGTAGACCGACGATGCGTGAACCCATTATTTTTTTTACTTCTCAATGGATACGCAAAGGATTTCGATCGACACTGACGTGTCTCCATAATGTGTTGTATACGAGCTCGAGGAGACTTGTAATTGCGAAACATGTGCAACAGTGGCGGGCATCGATCACTGACAAGTGTAGTCACAGCAACCCTTTTAATTTTAAAATAAATGAAGATATACAAATTAAATTCATAAGGTTGCCTTGGTGATGAAAGAATATCTTAGTGAATCGAAACCGTAAGAAGTTATGCAACTTAACAATGGCTTATATTTGTTGCAGAAAAAGCAGGTCAGAGAGACTCGAATTTATGAAAATCCGTAACAAAATGGGGTGACTCTAAACTTTAGGAATCCAAACGGAAATAACCTTACGAACGGACAAATGACCTTGACAAGGACAACTTTAACCAATCAGAAGCCTTAAAATGAACGGCGCATAATTTTAATAAATCGTTTATATACAAGTAAAGCAATGTTAAAAAATAGTTACAAAGGATAGCGTTCTCGTATATGTTGCAAAAAAACGTCCCAATTTGACATAGGAGTCTTTAAAGTCATGTTAAACCAAGTCCTATACATAAACTCGTCGAGATAACTGTAAATCATTGGATTTCTTGATCCGTTCACCGATCTTATCCGTTTTTTGAGATGACTCAAGAAACTTTCAATGGAATTAGTATGAGTTCCATTGAAAGGATTTATGAATCCGGTTGTATGGTTGACAACTTCATGAATATAGCCGAGATTTGATAATTGACTGTAACTACTCCACTCATCCGTATGTACTGTTGTTCCCGGCAGCACTAAACGTTGGATAATGGGCAACAATACATTCGCACTGCGATTAGGAATCGCTTCTATATATCCTTTGTGTAGGGTGGTGTCATCTCGCTATCAGCCCGTTCTCTAAACAGTAATCAAAAACAAACTCTGGAGCGAATTTGCACCGCAAACGATGTACAGCATCCATTGCGAGTCACATGATTGCCTGCTCAAGGTCATTCATCAAGGTCATCCGTTCTCAAGGTTGTTTTGGGTTCCTAAAGTTTAGAGTCACCCAAAATGGTAACCAGCGTAGTTATCGACCGGATGTGAAGTATATTTACGATGCCAGGTGACATGACACAGCTTTACAATCTAATGACTCAACCATCGGTTCATCTAAAACACAATTATTTATAGGTTTCCAGTGGCTGAATAACCTACGAGCTAGCTTGTTTTGTAACCGGAGGGTCCTGCGTTCAAACCCTGATGGATTCATACTGCTGAAGACTTCTTCGAGACTAGGATAGGATAGCTGTCCAGTACTCCTTGGTTTTATTTTGTGCGTCGGTAGTTCAACAGTTGAATACTTGCCAACCACGCGCACATAACCCATGGTTCTATTCCCTGCTGATACACTCTTAAACCTCGCTCAGCCAGTAGTCGGACCGGTAAAGAGGAAGGCCTAAGCGTGTAAGTCTAGCAACCACTATTACTGAAACTTAAAAGTGAAAGTCTGAAGGCCTATGTTCCATTGGAAAAGCAAAGGAATAGAAATCCCAATTATTTATATATTCTCTTTAGACTTCCAAACTTACATGCATAATGGACTATGTAGTCGCCTGACTTTACGATATGACTCATAAGAAAACTTCAAACTCGACAAACTGAAAATGTGTACCATTCCGTAGGAATAAAAGGAATGCATCGGTCGTTGGCGAGCATTCTACCGCTGTACCATTATTAACTCACTCATTTATCTCGCTAAGCCAGTAAGTAATAAGACTGGTAATGAGGGAAGACCCCAACCAGGAAATCTGTACCTTCCTAGGTGGCTTAAATTAACTGTTGTGGATTTCGTTGTCTGATGAAGCCACGTTTTCGCTTGACCCCTACCGCCACCACAACCACTAGCTCTTTTCCAACCTGATCGTGCCTATGTCAGTCAGCTAACACTGCCCGTCGAGGAAGGCAATGGCTAGGCATGCGTAAATGGATATAAATTCACAACCTCATCGATTCCTCTCCTCTCCTCACCTAACACTAGATACCAAATCTCAATATTGCTCACTCTATTATACCACCCCACCCTAACACGGGAAACAGAATAGAGACACCTGTGATCAAAGAGAGCTAGCCTAGCTTTCCATGACTTCCAATTTCAATGACCAGGTCTCACAGCCAGCCATAAAGGAGGACGAAGCGAACTGCCGAGGGGTACACACACCCTTTGGTCGATAGCCAGCCAGTCATGATAGACACTAACTATGGTGAAAAAAAAATAAAACGTCAACAGTTTACATCAAAAATGAATCCAGTTAAAAAATTAGTTCACCTGATGTGTTTTAAATCCGTCATAACAGTGTTTTCACCAAATTCACAACGCATTAGTGTTTCTAACGCTTCAGATGGATACGGTCGTTTTCCACAGAATACAAGATCTTTGAATCGGAATAGTAGACTACGACAACAGGGTAAACATTTACCGCATGTCATGAATAATGATATTGCTGCACCAGTCGATGTGCCTAAAAAACCAAACAATCAATCAATCGGTGAACAGAACACAAAAGTTAGCAAAACTAAATTTCTAAAATGTTACAGATACACAACATTGCTTTCTTAAAAAGGGGGTGTGCACTAGATAGTAAGTAACAAAACTAGTACCATGTGTCCAGTCCCTTGTTTACTGGCTCGTTATCACGGTGCAGTGCACTCGGAATTGTTGCTGTCAGATGCCACCCACCACCGAGTGGCATGGTGGCCACATTGCAAACTTGACTGATAGAATTCAGTCTACAACAAACAAGGCACTCGACGCATAGTGCACTAGTGAAAACCTAATGTCCATTCAAAGTATCCAATACTACAGCATAGCTCAATGGTAACGTCTCTTCATGCATTTATTCCCCTTGATGAATTTGAATAAAGCAAGAACAATAGTGGTTTGTGCAGAATAATATGGTACCATCATTTATTTCGTCGGCTTCTCACCAGCTGCTTACAGGCTAAATAAATTATGAGGTTCGCGTACAGAAAAGTTTTAACATACTTGCAAATTTTACTTGATATCAGTTGACAGAAATTTCCACAATCAGTGAACAGTGCTCAGAAAATTGCGCTTATATCGTTTTTACACAGGCAGTTCAAGTCAAAATAAATGTATGCATACAATGGTAAAGGAGTTATGTAATAAAGACGAGAAATGAGTAAGACGATGAGTAACTGATAAATTAGGTAGCGACGTACTGAGTTTAACTCACGTCACAGAAAAAAAAGACAAGCAAAATTACAGATTATAAAAAGAGGGGTTAGGTTAAAGACAAAGATTTCGTAATCAGATGAGAGAATAGAGACATCCAGTTACCAGGGCAAGGAAAGACTAATAACTGCTTCTTTCTGAACACATAAATCTGGTTTGAAGCGTTTGATAGAAATTGCTTCGGCAAACTTGAGGAGAATGGAGCTCCTTTGTCTATTGATAATTTTAAAGGATTTCTCGATTTCCAGCTCATGACCCATGTCGAGGAGATGCCTGGCGATGGCACTGTTTAAAGCATTTGTCCCCTTTAGACGTAAGCTTTTCGGTGCATGTTCAGAAAATCGTAGATATGCCCTTCTTTCTGTCCTTCCAATGTAACCGCTCGCGCAGATACATGTTAATTTGTATATACAGTTGAAGTCAACATGAGAAGGATATCTATCGATTTTTGATTGCACCAGAGAGCAAGTTTTTCGATAGACGCGAACGAGCTTAGCTGCAGGATAGGCTATGGCTAGTGATGTACTCAGTCTTTTGTTGATCATCGCTGCAATATTTTGACCTTTATAATCAAGCTGAAAGTAGATTGGCTTTTTTACATTTGTGACTTCAGATCTTCCATACTTGTTGATGAACCTTTGAGCGTAACGTCTCTGACTGTATCACTGGGTGATACGAGTTCAAATCCCAGGAAGGACATGAATGTCTTAAAGGTTATGTGTGTGTCTGTGTGCCCAGAAGCAAGAAACCTAGTTCAGACTGGGCTTCCTGAATGAAGAATGCCTCCAACTACCTAGTATTATCACGTTACCAGAAGTAAATTGTGAAGCGAAGAAATGTGATTAGAACTGTTGAATGTAATCGACAAGACTCTTCTTCGTTTCTTGTAAAAGTCTAGAATTGCTTAAGGTCATTCAAGTGCACTTGAATATGTAAGCATTGAAGTATTTCGATCACAAATGAGCAACTTTAAAGTGCACAAATTCCATCATCGTAACAAAAGCAAAAAGTTGGGCCATCAATACAGTTCCACATATTCCAGTCAGGAACATCCTCTCTCAGTGAAGACCTTAATAGAAGAATTAAGAATGTAGGGCACTTAAGTTTCAGTATTCGTAACTACTAGAATCTATATTCAGAAAAAAACGAACTCATCCTAAAGGGTTGTTGATCAAGGCGTTCATCTACTCTCCTAACGAATAGGCCAAACGATCAACTTCTAAATGTTGAGTATGCAAATGAGTATTACTAATTGGGAATAGACTTATTTATTCAATGAACAGATGACATCGGAGATAAAAAGTTCTGCGGTATGGAAGATTTTATGTTAAATTTCTTTAAGCATTGAAGAAATGATAATACACTGCTTGGTACAGTATACCATCATTGTAGATTATGAGTTAGAATTTTTGCCATAGAGAAAACTGATGTGCCATTGTCGAAAAGCACATACACTGGGCGTGTACTACTGACAGAATTTATAAGTAGAATATAGATAAAGGCATAAATATGTATTTAGCTTTACAACTAGAAGTGTTCTCTGCATTGGTTGGTTTTTAGTTGCGGAGCTTTTGTCGTCCTTCTGGACAACATCCCCTTTCAGCGCAATTTTTAGCATAAAGTGAAATGATTTAAATTCTCCATCAATGATAGAATTGCGTCTCCTGGTAACCATCTTTACATCTATATTGATAATTTTTTTATTGACTTGGATTGTAAACCTTCTCGTCATATGATTTACTTTTTATTAGTTGGTATATTTGGTCTATATTAGCATGTTTGTTAATCACAGGCTTCTAGGAATTCTCTGGTACCTTTGGTGTTTTCTCTGTTTAAAATTCAGACATTATCCCAATCAAACTGATGTCCATAATTACCTACATGCATTGATATGAAAGAATATATATCACGTCTTTTCACAGCTAATTTGTGTTGTTGGATTCGGATTCTAAGGGATGCCTATTTTGGTAGATGTAATGTTTGTTATAGTTCATACAATTTATTTTGTAAATGGTATTAATCTTATCTCCTTTTCCTGTTGGATCTTTCGGCTTGCACAATATCAAATGAAGTAATCACGCTGGTTGGCTTGTGTGCTATAACTATTTCAAACGGTTTCAATATTCCAGCTGTTATTTCAGAGATATTTCTCATGTATGGTAGGATGAATTTTCTTGTGGTCTTTGATGATGGTTTCTTGTTGGTGTTGTGACTCGATTTTCAACACTTTTTGATGAAATTGTGAGGATATCCATTCTTTTTGAAGACAGTTAGTAGGTATTTTTCTTCCATTCTTTTCAACGCTGGAGTGCTACAGTGTGTTTGAACTCTTTTAAACAATGTCTGCACACAGTTTCTTTTGTGGATAATTGGGTTATTGCTAGTATAGTTGAGTATTTGATCTGTGTGTATGCGTTGATTTTCTATATACTTGTGTTTCTAAATTTCCTGTGTTAGTCACCCTGATTTAGACATTTAAAATTGGAATTTTGTTATCTAATTCTCCTTCTTTTCTTGTGAATTTGATGTCTTCAAATAAGTTGTTTATTAATTTATGGGCATATTCCAAATCACATTTCTTTTAATTATTATAAATGTATCATCAACGTAACGTGCCCAGACTTTTGGTTCAATTATAGATAGAGCTACTAATTCTAATCGTTGCATGATGGCTCCAGCTATTAATCCTGATGTGGGCGATGATCCCATTGGTGTTCCTTTCTTTTATCTATTCGCATATTTGAGTATTGAATTTGAAGTATGTTGTAAGACATAATTCTATGAGTTATATCAGCTGTAAGAACATCCAATAGCGGAGGGATGGCGAGGAGAAGAAATGAACGATGCTACTGAGACATGGAAAACATGAAATATGAAGATAAAGAAGACCCCCCCCCTCCCGCTCAAACAGAGGAAGACAAAAGTAACACAATACCGAAGATACATGTTAACTGTTATTCTAATATATGGTAGGCGCATTATATATATATATATATATATATATATATATATATATATATATATACCGAGTTGCCAATAATTTATCCCGGACGGATTTTCAATACAAACGTCAAGTCAGTCAGTTCTTCTATACGGATCAGAAACTTGAAGGGTCACAAAGAATATTTCCAACAGCCTGTTGCAGACCTTTATCAACAACTGTCTTCGCTGGCTCTATACTGAAGATCAGATGGCCGGCCAGAAAGAATCACCAACAAGAAACTATGGGAACAAACAAAACAAGAACCAATCGCCCAACAAATATGCAGGAGAAAGTGGAGATGGGTTGGACACTCGCTGAGGAGGCCACTGGCTCGAGTGGAACCCGAAAGAGAAGCGGCGAGCGGGACGTCCAAGTGTGGGTGACATGGAGGAGATCGTGTGAAGAAGAGTTGAAACAGTATGGAATAACATGGATGCAGGTGAAAAGTACAGCAGAAGACAGAAGAAAGTGGAGACGTGTAGTTGAAGCTTTATGTTCCACTAGGAACCCAAGGGAATAATAATAATAATCCCATTATCAAATACTCTTGTCTTCTGCTGTTACAGGCTCACCAAATTTTCCTAAGACAAACACCTGATTCATTATACATTCCTCTCAGTTTATGTTTATGTTACTCATCATATGCTGAGAAACATATTACACAATCGTATTATCATATGACTTTCGAAAAAAGAGATTTTATATTTAAAAAACAAAAACGGAAGTATTACCAATGATCCAATCGAACAATTCTGTAACTTTTTTCCCACTGGCAATTTCTAACGCTCGAAGTATCTGTACAATAATCAGTCCACGAATCCCTCCACCGTCGAGTGAGAGAACACGATAACCTCTTGGTCCACAACTCCATTTACTGCATCGTTTAACACGTGTTCCATTTCCTGAAAAATTCGGATAACTATTATCACCAGCACCAGCACCACCCCCGCCACCGACACCACCACCATCTGCAAGTAGATGAGACCATTCATTTCCATTGACCGACTTACTTGATTTGTCTTCATCGCTTGATGATGATATATCAATGACTTCTGTATCCATATTCAAATGATTCGGAGTGTTTGTTGTTGAATTCAATGATTCACTAACTGATGACGGCACTGTATCCATATTTATAGGTGCTTTATCATTAACTTTAGATAAAAATGAACGATCACATGTACACTTTTTCGGTTTAAATCTGCATGTTGTGTCTGGTAGATGTACTCCATTAACATTTGTATTGACAGGTAGCTAAAATAAAATTTAAAAAAAAATCGGAAGTTAACGGTACGAGAGAAAATAGGTGGAGGAAAAATAATGTTCATTTTGTACAATAAAGTACATTGCACTAATCAAGGCACTCTACTCAAACTCACGTAGCCGTGTAAGGGCTTAGGGGGGAATTGTCATCTGAATTGATAACAACCAGTGGTGTCCGTCAAGGATGACCACTTTCCCCATTCCTGTTTAACTTCATCATAGATATGCTAATGGAAGTATCCTTAACTGAACTTAACGACTTAGGAATCGACTTGTTACCAGGGAATAGTCTTGTGGACTTAGAATATGCAGATGACATAGTCCTGTTAGGGGAGGATGCTGACAAAATGCAGAGTCTTTTGAACACCTTGAGCAGCAATCATCGTATGTTTGGCATGCGATTCGCCCCTGTAAAATGTAAGATGCTGCTACAGGACTGGACTACGTCAACTCCTAGCTTAGTGATAGGGAGTGAAGTGATAGAACATGTTGACCACTTCACCTATTTGGAAAGTTGTATCAGCACCAACGGATTGATTGGTGACGGAATCTCAGCACGGATCCAAAAAGCTCGAGCTACTTTCGCTAACTTACACCATCTCTGGCGTAGGCGTGACATCCGGCTATCAGACAAGGAACGTGTGTACTGCTCAGCAGTTCGCTCCGTCCTTCCCTATGTCTCTGAAACATGGCCAATACGAGTTGAAGACATGAAAAGGTTGACTGTTTTTGATCATAGATGTCTACGATCTCTTTCTCACGTTAGGTGGTATAATAAGGTAAGTAATGTTGACGTTAGGCGTAGAGTGTTGGACAAAGAGGGCAAATCAATCGAAGAGGCTATAAAGTTACATAGATTGAGATGGCTAGGTGACGTGCTGCGCATGCCTAGCCATCGCCTCCCCCGACGGGCATTACTAGCTGATATACGTGCAGGTTGGAAAAGAGTAAGTGGTGGCCAAACAAAAACATGGCATCAATCCAATGAACCCTTGAGTCAAGTAGGGAGATGCAGACTTCCGGGTCGGGTCCCGGAATCGTTGTCAATGGCTTACGCAGATGTATTCAGTTTCTGTAATCTTTCATATTCCTTTCTACCATTACTCATTCTGTTTCACTCTTATACTTGTCAAAACTCTATTGATTCTCTTCACTCATCTTCTTGTCTACCTTTGTGTGCTATTTGGAACGTGGCAACTCGAACTGCTGCACTTCGGTGCCAAGTTCTATGTTGAACCTAGACAGAGAGACAGTAAAATAATTTAGAAATTCATGAGCCATTGAATCGGGTCTCAGTGGCTGAATGTTATACGAGGTAGCTTGCCTTGTAACCGGAAGGTACTCGGTACGAACCCGTGTGGTGGGTACGTAATGCCGATGATTCCCAAGACTAGGCCAAAGAAACAGCTGTCCAGTACTGCAGTGATGGTTTTCAATGTTTCTCTAACTGATATCAATCCGTGATCAACTCGTAAAGACAATAATTTAGTTGTTTTTTTTATAGAGAAACAATTGTAAACTACTAAATGAAAAAATCCACAATATGATACATACTACTCACTAATATCAGTAGTTGAAAACTATTGAAATCGGCCAGATTAAGAGGAAAGAAACACACACGCCGTCCAGTTAACCTGTTTGGGCTAGGATGTCATCAAGAGTGCACTTCGAACTAAATAATTTTTAAAATGATAACTTTAACTTCGGTGTGTCGCTGGTCCAGCAGTGGTAGAGTACTCAACAACCAAGCATGTGACCCGCGGTTCGGGTCCCGGTCGGCGCACACGATAAACAAGGAAGGCGGGGCGCGAGACAAGAAACTTCACTGTAGAAAAAAACACCTCTACTACTACTGAAGCTTCGGAGCTCAGGCCTAAAGCCTTACCATAGTAATATGCCTTACTTATTAACTATTATTATTATTATTCCTGATTCATTTAAAACTATTCGTTTTGCATGCCTGACACAGTACTGTGTATTTGTTTATCAGTCTTATATTTTCCAGTGTAATTCTAATAGTACATATATCGCTGTATGTACAGTATTCAGCTGAAGAGTTCTACTGAAATCTGATGAATTCATTAAATTCTTCCTGTTTTAAATTCGTATCGTGTAATCATATTAATTAAAACTAAACAACTACGAAACTTTCGTTTCATAGTTTTCTTTATTCCTTCGCACTTGCCTTAGGGATAGTGCAATTTTCCAGATGTCTGGCTGGAGAGGTGTTGGATCATTCCGATTACACGTATTCTTTCTCAGCTGATTCCACAGATAAGGCTTCCGTTATCAATCTATAATTCCACACAGTTATATTAGATTTTAGAACTGTCTCTATTCCATCCTACTGTATGCTTGTGTGTAATTGCATAGCAGAACTCTTTTTAGAGTTCACCAACCCTGTGTAAGTGTAGAATTTGGGCACTGTGGCAGAATGTAATTCCATATTAGATAAATTTAGGAAACCTGGGAGTACTGGACAGTTTCGTCCTAGTTTGGGACTCTTCATCAGAACGCTCATGATGAAATCCTCCAACTAATCAAGCTAAATCCCTACAAAAAACCAGTGCTTGAAAATTAATCTGATGCTCACTAGCGACTGGCCCTGTTCAGGCAGTTAACCTGAGGTTCTAGTGGGAAGCCGTAACCAGTAGGGTACAGCAGGTTGAAGGTGAGACAGTAATTCATCGAAGAAGATACTGTAAAGTGCTCGCGCTATGTCATGAATTGGCAGAAGTTAAAATTCATGGGTTGGCCATTGCATCGGGTCCCAGTGGCTAGCTCGCCTTGTAACCAGAAGGTTTTGGGTTCAAAACCTGGCGATGGGTGCGTACTGCTGAACAGCCCCGGTTCCAAACTAGTCTGACGAAACAGCTGTCCAGTACTTTCGGGTTTTCCAATAATTCTCTAACAGATGTCAACTCATGATGAAATCCTCCAACCGATCAAAAAAAGTTCCTACAAAACCAATACTTGTAAATACTACATTGATTGAACTTCGTCATAACCATCTGTCAGCAGTTAAAGCCTGGTGTTGAACTCTTCCATTAAATTTAGAGTGAATAAAATCAGAGATTTAAATACTTTTCAAAAATACATGGAAGAGATTATGTATTATGTGTCTGTAGAAGAATCCAGTCTACATCCACCACACTGAGGCCTAGACACATGACATTGGTTACTGCCTGGGGACCACAGTCCTACAGAAGGACGATAGTGAGCCTTAAAACCTTTCACTGCAACACACTGGATGACGGTCGTTACAATCTCATACGGTAAAAGGGTTGCTTCAAGATTTCAGGTACACTTAGTCGACCAGTGGAAACAAGCACGAAACCTGAGTGTGTGTGTGTGTCCAGTTCCTTTTGCTGACTGCCTCCAACCGTCTAACATCAGGATACGTATCTCAGTTAGTGATACTGGGAATGTACTCAATAAGTTGATTCTTCATACATTTGGTTCCCTTGATAAATTTCGGTAAAGAAAGGATGATGAAATTTGCAGTATAAAATGATATCGTCATTCTATTTCACAGGTTCTCATCAGCTGCAGACTACTTTAATGTTTAAGTGGTAGTAGAGAAGAGATACTATAAAATTGACGCATCAAAAATGAAAACATTACAATTTTTAGTTTAAGTTTTCATCATCAATTTATACGCTTTCAAAGTAGAAAAGAGGGGGGGGGAGCGGTCAGATAGAAAACAGAAAAAAATTAATTAACAGAAACAGTGTTAGCTTGTAGATTCACAATGCAACTCAAAAAACAAAAGCGATTACAGTTTATAAGAGTGAGATTTGTTCAGTGAGTTGAGATCACTAGTAAATTTGCCGAAGCGATCGCAATCAAACGATTTAAACCAGACTTATGCATACAGAAAGAGAGTGTGATTAACCTCTCACTACCTTGCTAACTGAATTTTGATTTTGATTACATTAATAATTAGTCATCTAATTCAGTGATCTCAACTCACTGAACAAATCTTAATCTCATAAACTGTAATCGCTTTTGTTTTTTGAGTTGCATTGTGAATCTACAAGCTAACACTGTTCTGTTAATTAATTTTTTCTGTTTTCTATCTGACCGCTCCCCCCCCTCTTTTCAACTTTGAAAGCGTATAAATTGATGATGAAAACTTAAACTAAAAATTGTAATGCTTTCATTTTTGATGCGTCAGTTTTATAGTATCTCTTCTCTACTACCACTCAAACATTAAAGTATGTTATTATCATTTATATAACCATTGTAATTTCAGGTAATCTGCAGCTGATGAGAACCTGTGAAATAGAATGGCGATATCATTTTATACTGCAAATTTCGTCATCCTTTCTTTATCGAAAAGGTGATTCTTACTTGAAAGAAGGGCGTAAATTTTGCCAGGATTAATTTTTTTCTATTTTAAAGCATATGACAGTGGTGTTTGAGAAAAGTCACTGTTCTGCTTAAAAGGTAAAAGTGATTACTCCAGAAATGTGCATAGCATACTTAGGAAATAGGAGACGGATTAGGTATACGTTGAGGAGGTCGTCGGTGAGACGGTGACTTTGAAGAGATGAGAGATAACGGGCAATCGTCGACCCAGATGAAGAGGACAGTAGAGAATAGAACAAAGTGGAGATGTGTTGTTAAAGCCGTATGTTCCACTCGGAACCCAAGGGGAATAATAATAATAATAATGATAATAACTTAGAAAGTACTATCCGCAATCACGACTATGGCTCGTGATATCATAAAATGTAGGATATATATAATTGATTACTAGGATACAAACATTTTTCACATAAAAACAATTGCACGTGACATTCATTGAATTTGTTTACT